CCATCCACCGAAATATACGTGTTTTTGTGCGTTCGCACATTTCGTTTGTTTCTTTTCGTTAGCAAGACTTGTTTAACGTCCAACTGACAGGTTGCTAGCCTAAAAATCAGACTGTTGGCTATCGGCAGCCCAGGGTCGCCTCCCACCACTGTAAACAGTAGCAGGTCCCTGTAGAAGTTCGAAAACTCCCCCGGCAGGCGACTCTACTGAATGAAGGTTCTAATAGTTTATTGCTCATTGTTGTTAATCTGATTATTCCATTGGTTTGGCACTATTAACCATTGATACTATTGATAAGTAATATCTTATGAAAACTAGCTAAAATAGGCGTGAAATAGTATACAACGATTAAAATTCTATCATGATGACTACAGCTTGCTCATTTTTATCTAATGAGAATCATTCACCACTTCCAGTTATTTCATTTATTAAGTCGCAAAAGGAAACCCTTTGCTTGTATCAGATAAATATATTTTCAAACTGAATAAAACAACAACAACTAGTAAATATTGGATATGTGTGTTTTTCTTTATAACTCTTATTTATCTATGATCTATGCTATGATGCTATTATGATTTCAAGAATAACAATACCTTAGTGCAAGTTTTCGATATTTGTCCATTCGACATTTTCCCTTTCGGTCTTTCTACGGCACACCGAATTTTCAACTCCAAAACTAAAAAGAAACGAAGATGACTTCTACAAAATGAATTATTTTGTGAATCTATACGAGTACTATAGCTGTTGTTGCTCTTCACAATATTTACAATATATACTATTAGAAAATTCTTGGACCATGCGAGTATGATTGTAAGGCCTTCAAGAAGTACTTTTTCACTGAGTCAAACGCGAAGGCGTTCAAATGATATTTCGAGTACTTCTCTAGTATTTGACGATGAAAATTCATTGAAATAGTCTTTTGTTTTCCTAGATTGTTCGCTTGAGATTCCATGCACTATCTGAAATTTGTTGAGTTTAAGGAGGCGCTCAGAAGGAAACCTAATCGAAATAATACTTGAAGTCTTTTGAACTCTCAAACATTCGACAATTCAGTTTCTTCTATTCTGTGTAGATGTCAGCTAGCTAACGAGGACTCAAGTTTGAATATAGAAATATTCGAACGAGTAAAACTTCTTTTTCTTTCTACAAATTCTTCTTATTACTTGAAATTCTTTGAAAATGATCGTTTAATGAACTCCACATACTGAAATAGAGCGTTCATAGTGATAATTTAGAATGAATTGAGAGATCGCTGGCGAACTTAAATTTCCTGTATTGACTAAAACTCATAAGAATGACACTTTTATATGTTGAAGAATCAGTGGAAGGTATCTAGCAGCATAGTCCATCGATGAGTCTGAAAATCATCGACCAATGTTATTCCCAGCAGTCAATTTGAGTTTGGTTTTTATAACTGTGCATCAATAATTCAAAATTATCTTCTAGTTGAAAAAATCTAATGAAAATATTGAAACTATCAAGAATCATAATATTATAAATGATTGGCTACATAATGCATTATTCTTAAATATTACTCTTTTTAGGGTTAGCTTCTTTGAAGTAAAAATAAATAAAAGTTTCTCAAAGTCATCATTTAATCTACATTTAGCATCACAATGAGTGTTATCGATAGAGAGAAAGAGAGAGTTTCAATTTAAGTACACGAACGCATTAAGAAAATCTTTTTTCTTCACATAATGATCAATGTGTTGCTTATTAGGTATTGAAATTGTGTGATTATAGATATGTTTCAGTCCTATGTTACCTAACTAAATCTTTTCAGGATAGGCACAGCGATCTACTGCTCTGTGTCGCTTTGATACGAATCGTAGCATGTAAAAAGTAAGAGTCTTCAAGTACGATTAAAGTGGCTTACTTTTGTTTGCCATTTCAGTCTCATAAAAATCACATTTTAATATTTTCCGTTAGACAAAAACAATCTAAAATTATTGTTTTTATTAAGGCGATATTTCGTCATTTCTAAAAATATCTTGTTGTTGCAAAATATTGGTCGGATTATGAGACTCTTGCACAGTCAATATCACTAAGTATGGAATCACTTACTTCGAAATTTCTAACTAATCTTTTGTCTCAAAAATGAGATACTACACATGAGTTACACATATCACTATTGAATTATTTCTCCAATTTCCTTTTGGACGTATTGAATCCCAACATTAGTTTTCCATGTATTTGATTTCATAAGGAAACAACATCGCCTATCGACGATAAATTTATCTATTTCGTTGTACCATGTGACGGAGCTGCAGCTAGGGGTGTCACATTTAAATTTAAAAAAATTTATTAAATCGAGAAATAAATTTTCAAAAATTTAAATTTAAAATAAATTAAATTTTTTCCAAATGAAAAGTTAAATTTAACTAAATTTAAATTAAATTGTTTGAAATTCAAATCAGTTAAATTTTGAAAACTAGTAGATAAACATAGTTTTTGACTTGATTGCTACTATTTAAAGTGAATTTTCAGTATGTTTCCTGTTTTCTAAAGTTAAAACTAGTCAATATTCTATGAATTGTGCTATTAAATATATTTTTATGCGTATCCCAGTATTTTGAAGAAGAAAGATGACGGATCCTGTATAATCTGTAGAGAAATTTTGACTATTATAAACAAATATTAGCCTAAAATACTAGGTTTTCCTCTCATTTAGTATTTACTACTGTTAAAGTCACGTATTTTCCTTGTAGCAATGATGTGTATCCATCCAAACAATTTATTAAATATAAAATTTAAATTTAAAAAAATTTATTAAATCGAGAAATAAATTTTCAAAACTTAAATTTAACTTGATAGAATTTAATTTAAAATTAAATTAACTTTTCACGAAGTTAAATTTAAATTAAATAAAATGTAAATTGACACCCCTAGCTGCAGCACATAAACAGTTAGAGAATTATAAGTGACTTATGCAAGTCTTTGCTAAACCCACATATGCTTCATATCAATTATGCATACTTACCTGTTCTTGATTTTATTTAATAAACTATCAAAACAGTAATAATAGCTGGATAAAAAAGAAAGCTTTCATTCTGTCTATTATTTTTTAGGAATCAACTTGTTTATATTAGATTCCCAATAATTATTGTTCATTGAATACACTCGTATTGAAGCTGTGCCAGTCATTTACAAATCACTTCAAATAATTAAAATTTTTAATCGATTGCTTATATACATCTATATATCATTGCTCTATTGAGTAGTCGTCAGAAGTCTATGAATAAAACGTCAATGTGGCTCATAAACATGAATATACGTACCTTTGTTCGTCTCATTCAATTAGGTATATGTGTTGTTATTATATTACACATCCTTTTATATACTAAGTCATTGGATTTATCTGATACACCTCAAACTTCCGTCACTCCCGTCAAAATCATCAACAAAGCTATTATTGAATCATCTCCAAAACGAGCCCCCATCGTTTTCAAGTGTAACAAAAACTATAGAGTAGCTTTTACATTTGATGATGGTCCTCATCCTACTCACACTCCGCTCGTCGTAAAAACTTTAAATCTACATCGAGTTAGTGCTGGATTTTTTCTTTTGGGCACCTCAATTCAAAGTTTTTTGAGTGCTCGTAATAATCTTAGCGTTCATCAATATGAAAGGCCGCGTATAGGCTATTTGCTCTTACAAGATTACTCATTAATCGAAGACTTATTCGTTCAACATGATATTTATCTTCACGGATGGTTACATGAAAAAATTAATGAAATGCGTCTACAAACAGTCGTTGATAACATTTCCACACAACTAATAGAAATTGGTCTTCTAAAAGGATTCAAACCAGTCTATCGAGCACCATGGGGAATCGGTACAGCACCTGGTACTATCAACAACAAAGCAATACTTTCGCAAATTTTAGATC